TTGAGAAATATAAAAAAAAAATGAAAATTAGAAAAATTATGCACATAACGAGCCTCATAATGCATGCTGCAACGACACACGATCGGCTTCTTCGATCATATTCTACGTGCATAGAGGTTTGTTGAAATAAATGCATAAAATATGCTTATTATTTATATATATGCGGGGAGGGAGAGACAACTGGATACATATATCATATATCATATATGAGGCATGTTTTACAACTAGATCCGGAAACTCTACAAAATGCTTAGGGGGTGTTTGGTTGCATTGTTTTTGAGAAATGTTTTCTTAAAAGTACTGACGCATGGCATTTATGTAATTAAGAGTTTTCTATACATTTCTATAAACTGTGTTTGGCTCCAAAAAAATTTACAGAAATGTTTTCTGTAAAGTGTCCAAAAGTACTAATTTTTATGGAAATTGATTTCCTTCTAAAATGGGAGGAAATCTCTTGGAAATCTGACGCATTCATTATTTAAATAATAAAACTCATTAACTCTTTTCTACAAAGTTCTCACTTTTCTATAAAGTTGGTGGCGTTTGGTTACATTTCTATAAATTATAGGAAATGTTGCTATTTTTCCAAAAGTTATTTCTCATTTTCTTGTTTTGAACCAAACAAGCACAATACAAAAAATAAGAAAATTTGTACTTTTTAACTTCTCAAAACTTTTTCTATAATTTTTTTAAGAAATACAAGGAAATCAAATTTGGGATGGAAAACATTTCCTATAATTTATAGAAATGTAACCAAACACCCCCTTATATGATCAAATAGTCCTCAGCTGGGCCCAAGTATAAACAGCCACTAATAAATGGATATCTCTAGACTATTATGAATGATAAGCTTTATTCGTGCCTCCCAGCCCATTTCTAGTCGCCCATGCATTTACAAGCGAACAATGGGCTAGGAATCTAAGATACGTGTCTTGCGTTGTCTGTCTGCTAAATTAGTAGCGTGAAGTGACAGCGAACTGAAAAGAAATAGTAATTATAAATGAAACTAACAAGAGGTGGGAAATGATCCGGTTTCTCCTAATAACATTAAATTAAATTACTTTCGTTTCTTTTGTAACATGGTGATAATAATATATAACAAAATCACGCTTTTAGTTCTGAATAAATATGAATCTAGGCCAAAAGTCAAAATTCAAGCCTTACGTACGGAATCACTGTGTGATTTTCACCATATTTTTGTCTATTTTTTGAGTTTTGCGCATCTAGTTTATGTGACTTTTAAGATATTGATTGAGTTACTCTATTGATGAAGATACATATACATATACTCAGGCACAAAATCAACTATTGTTTGTACGTTTACAAAATAACAAATAATTTTATAGATAAATACTTATATATAGTTTTCAAAATATTAGTTGCTAACATGCAAAATCATACCCCCCTTACATGGACTATATTATCCCTATTCTTTTTTTGATATTACATTCTAAGCCTAACTAAACTAAATTAATTATTATTGTTAATTAATTATATTGTATGCCACTTCAAGTTTGTCTAACTTGGTCCCTAAAACTTTCAATGTTATATATCATAAAACTCTATATTTTATTACTTGTTACTAATGTATAATAATATATTAATAGGCAATTGCATGCTAATAACTTATTTATGGAAACAGTAGAAAACATAGAAGTGTCCTAAAATTGTACCATGGCATTCATATAGGAAAATTACAAAGATTATTCTTGTGTTTAGGTATAACAGGACAGAAGGTACAAACATGTAATTTTAGTAAACATTAAGATATTTAAGTGCAGTAACATACAAGTGGAGGTATATAACTTTCATACTATAGATTACTTACAAGTTTGTCTAACTTGGTCACTAAACATTTCAATATTATTATAAAACTCTACATCATATTAATTATTACTAATGTATAATGATATATCAATAGACATTTGCATGTTAATAAATTATTTATGGAAATAGTAGAAAATATAGAATTATCCTAGAATTATATCATGACACTTATATAGAACAATTACAAAGAGTATTCTTCCATTTAGGTAACAGGACAGAAGGTACAAACATGTAATTTTAGAAAATATTAGGATATTTAAATATAGCAAGATACAAGGTGTTTAAGTTCAATTAAGTCTATAAAGATTTAAAAACTTTGTAAACCACAAATAATAGTATGTGATCCTATTGATAAATAATATTCATTATATAATATGAGGCCAGAGACTTGGCTTATATTTATATAGTAGAGGAGGTGTGGAAAAATAGCATCATATTTTAGATAAGTCTCAAGGCTTTGAATTATTTCATGAAATTATATACTTTGCTTAGAAAACTTTAGAATAGACTTTCGAAGGACTACTACAGAGTGTTGGATATCAGATAAATATTGGACAACTAAAATCTATAATATCATATTATAGATATTGGGGATATGTAAAAAATATTGGGTGTCATATGCGATAATATTCATACATAATACAACCGTAAGCTATAATATAACATATTAATGAATTTTAAATATAAGAATTTGCATGAATATATATGCTTAAACTTTGGGAGAGCAAAAAGTGGAGAGATTTGGGAGAAGAATTGTGACTTTTGTGGTTTTCGTGGGTTTTGATTTTGATTCCCAAACATTACCCAAACCCTAGCCCATAAATCAAATTAAAAATGGCTCAAATTTGTCAATATCTTCAAAGAGATGTATCGACCAATATTTTTTGATAACGATCGATATATCGAAAAAAATCTCTGAAAAAACACAAAACAATAAATATTATCGAGTAAGTTCTTTAACTTGATATATTGGCCAATATAGTGATATACCAGCTGATATTTAATACATTGTCCATAAGAGCAATATTTAAAGATAATTTAGGTATAAGTTCATTGATTTTAGATCTCCAATAATTCTATATTATTCTCTCAAAATTTTGAAATTGCTTATAATTAAGAGACTAATATTGAATTATTAAAAATGTGAGGGACAAAAATATGAACACGCCAAATTTAAATAAAAGTGCTTTTTTTCTAAAAACTCTCTTAACTATGGGGATTGTTTCAAAAAACTCACTCAATTGATTTAATTTGACAAAACATCCTAACTATGAGGGTATTGTAGATAACCCCTCTTAACTTTGGTGCAATTTTAGAAAATACCCCTCGATTGTAGCGTGTCTCATTAAAACTCCCCTGATCTTTTACACTTCTCTTAACAAAACCCCTTACTGTAGTTACTTGAATATGTGATTTGAAAAAAATACCCTCTTGAAGAAAGCTATTTTAGTTTAAAGAAACCCTCAGCCGATAATAAAGGACCACGATCAACTTATAATTCTTTTTCCCTTTATATCTCCTCTTTTTCTTTAATCTAGCAAAAACCAAGCTAATTCTCTTATGGTTGAGGGATATTTTGATCTTTCCAAGTTAAATACTAGTCATATAATGGATTAGACTCAATGATATTAGTTTTGAGCTGCTAAGTGAGAAAAGTTTATATGGTTAAATAAAAAATTTGAAGTTGAGATAGATTATGTACAACACCCCAAATTTGACGAATATTTACTCAATTTCAAATTAGCAATTTTCATGACAAAAGGTTCGAGTTCGAGGTTTGCCACCCATGTCCCTTAAGTGTCCTACTAACCTGGTGACTAGATGTGGTAAGGGGGGCCCATTTCACCTAGGATTTACTAGTGAGTGTAGGGGGCTTGAACTCGGGCCTTGCCTCAGGGATCCTTCTGCCCTACCAAGTTCCCCTTGAATCCAAAAAAATAGTTGAGAGTGATTTTTTGACATTGCCCTCCCATAGTTGAGAGGGAGTTTTCTAAAATTAACCCTTAAACAAATCACAACTTAAGGCATATGTGACATCAATCTTATAAAAGTAGATTTCATAGCAAGTATATCACTCTTGAACTGATTTGGGGTATGTGTCCTAAGATTTATCCTATACATCAACTCTAAAAATCTTTTGCTAAAAGGATCTCTAAGAGAAATTTAATCTTTATTTGTGAAGGGTATCTGATCCTTCTGATTCCCCTTGTTTTTCATGCTTTGTAATGAACTATTTGACGAAATAAAATAAATTATTCATTTTAGTTCTGACCTTCTTATAAGTTTATGAAGCACATAGCTTGGGTACGGGTTTGTTGCAAATATTGAATTCTTCTAACTCCTTAACCTAAATTTTTTGAATGTTGTTTGACATTGGATAGATCTAAATTATTTATTAAAATACAATCCATAGTGCATAATATGTATAAATCGTTCTCGTATTATATTTTATAATTTTCTGAAACTAGAGAGTAATCATTTTGATAAATCAAATAATTAGCTGGGAAGATGTAGAAAAACTACAATATTAGATTTTGGAATTGATCATATAAATTATGTTTTCTTTCTTGATTGAATTTGCACATTCTGACAAAAAATTCTAGAAAAAAGTTTTTAAATATCTATAATACTTGGTCGCTGGATAAACAACAAGTGGAAGTAAACAAGTGAAAGTAATTTCTTTATAATTAAACACAATCCTATATGACCAGATAAAACCTATTATTTTACTTTGATGAATTCAATAATTTATTTTTATCATTAATAATAATAGTTTTTTTATATTGGTCCCTTACATTATTAATATTTTGAAATTAGATCTTCAAATCATGAAATTGCTCTTAAGTTATTAATATTTTAAGACTTTTTTATATGGAAAACAAAATGTTGAAACCAGCAAGATATTATACATGGAAATACCCAATTTTTTAAAATATATTATGATAATTATAAACTTTTTTTTGTAATTATTTTATAGTAAATAAATAAACTTAAAATAAATAGTTAATATATTTGATCACGTAAGGTGCACTTGCATTCTACCTAGTCTCATGAACTATAATCACTCCGATTTCATCATTTCAAAAATTAATTTAAACCAAAAGAAAAGAAAAGGAAAAAAAGGGAACAAATTTGTTACAACAAACCCACCAAATCAATGCCCCAACTCTTAAATCCTCACTTAATCCTGACATCTCCTCCTCGCTCCTAAAAACTCCCCCCATGAAACCGCCCCTCTCCTCTCCCCTGCAAAGACCCTCGCCCTCTCTAATCTCGATGGATCGCAAATGGATCCTCCCATTGTCCGTCGGCTCCTCAATCTCTCTCCTCCTCCTCCTCCTCCTCACTTCCCTCTCCTCCCCTCTCTCCCTCCTCCCCCTCTCCCTCCTCCCCTCCTTCCTCTCCCCTTCCTTCATCGAATCCAAACTCTCTCCCCTCCCCTCCTCCTCTCTCCCTCCTCCCCCTCGCCTCGCCTACCTCATCTCCGGCTCCTCCGGCGACGGAAAGCTCCTCTTCAGAACCCTCCAGGCTTTATACCACCCTTTGAATCAGTACGCTGTTCATCTCGATCTCGAGTCGCCGGAGAATGAGAGGCGAGATCTGAAGGAGGCTGTTGATGCTCATCCTGTCTTTAGGAGAGTTGGGAACGTGAGGATGATTACGAAGGCGAATCTCGTTACTTACAGAGGGCCTACTATGGTTGCGAATACTCTTCATGCGGCCGCGATTTTGTTGAAGGAGGGAGGGGATTGGGATTGGTTTATTAATTTGAGTGCCTCGGATTATCCGCTTGTGACCCAGGATGGTAAATTTTGATTGATTTATTGGGTTTGTTTGGATTTGGGTTTGTTTATTTGGGCTGTTGATTTGGGTTTTGTGATGTTTGATTGTAGATCTGTTGCACATGTTCTCGTATTTTCCGAGGGATCTGAACTTTATTGATCATACAAGCAACATTGGATGGAAAGAGTATGTTTTGCTGTTTGTTTGTTTGTTTGTTTTGGTGGATTGTTGAGATGGGTTTTGTGCAGGTTTCAGAGGGCTAAGCCGGTGATAATTGATCCAGGGCTGTACATGTCGAAGAAGCAGGATGTGTTCTGGATTACTCAGCGGAGGAGTGTGCCCACTGCCTTTAAGCTCTTTACAGGTAAATGTTTTGTTTCGGAACTTGATTTGAATATCAAATGCATGTTTTCTACTAACGTGTAATTGATTAATTGGCCGTATATTAGGATTGATATGGATCTTTTGATTAGTTGCATGTAACATTAGTTTCTTGACAAAAAATGTTGCATGATGCTACTATAGGTTACCTGTTGCACAGATCTATTTCTGGATTAGAGACTAAGGTTACAATTTGCCTTATATGCAAGTATTTTTCCTTATATGCAAGTATGTTTGAGGGAACTGGTTATGAAATCTCAAATACAAAGGAAAAACATTGCAAGTGATCTGCTATTGTGATCACAAACATGCTTAAAATCACAATGCTGTAGGATCAACAATTTGGTGTGTACTCAATCATGTGTAAGAAATTGATTCATGGCATAAGAAGTATGAAGCTTAAGTATCGGTCAGTTTAAAGCTTAAAGGTAAGTATATGGCTGATTTGTTTGCAAGTGATTTTTCATGAAGAAAATCAGCTGCCTATTGACTATATTCTGACAGTCAATTAAATTTATGTTTAATGAAACTCACATATAGAGATGTGCCATCCTTTGAGAATATATATTTTGCAAGAAGATATTGTGGTGCTGATCACCCCAGGGAAGCATTGGTAATTATGTCCACCAAAGGATTCGTTATCTCAAGGGTCTGCTCATATTCTATATCAGGTTAGGATGATTAAGTTTCGGGACTGGTTTTAGTTGTCAAGTACTTAAAGATTCAGTTTTGGGTTGTGAATTATTATACACCTTCTGCAATGCATATCAGTGGATATATGAGTAACTTGTGACTCATAATGTTATTAATTGTCCTTTGCTTCAACTTGTCTATATTTTCAATTAAATGATAAAAATAGAAGGAATGGGTGCATCTCATTAAGAGTTTGTTGAGATGGTTTGTGGCAATTGGAATTAATGGAGCAAGGAGAGTAGACGTATAAATAAATGAATATTGAATATGGATTGAAATGATTAAAAAAGGATACGGGAGATGCATAATTAATAGGAGATGTTTTAAATATTTGGGTTAAAAGTTTTTGTTATTTCCTTATTTTGTTTGCTCCCTTGGTTAATTGAACAAGTTATTATATACCAAAATATACTCCTTCCTTTGTGGCTTTCTCTTCAATTCTTCGTACCTAGATATGAGCATATAGATTACATTCATCATGATGATTTACTTAATACTGCGCATTTAGATTACATTCACCCCCTTAACCCAAATATCAGGGACTCACTACATGTGACTTTGATGTAATTTATCATCCTATGTTTGAGTGTTTTTTTTCATGGTCACATTATAGGATTCATGTAGCCGATCATAAACATTTGGGATAAAGGTTTTGTTGTTGTTGAATCATGCAATCCTCCTCCAAAAAAAAAGAAAAGAAAAGAAAAGAAAAAGAAAGGATTAGGTATTGAACATGGCCCCAAGATGCCCCACAAAATAATTGAGGTGGTTTTACAATGTCAATAACATGATATCAGTTATCAGTAAGTTGATGCAAATTTCTGGCAGTTATGAACTTATAACCCTGCTAATAAATCTTAAAGACCAGTTGGTAGGTAGGTAAGCCTACCTTTTCTTGTTCTGTAACTTGGAAGTACATGTTTCTTTGTGCATGACATGTTCACTGTAGCATGCTACTATTTAGGTCATTATTTTGTGCCGCTATCCGTTTCGATATATGATGGCTTTGCATGATTGATGTTAGTCTGAATCTGATCCGCTCAATTAGCCTCTTAATGAATCAATCAGATAATGAAATACAAAATTAACAGTTCTTCAAAACTACACTTCATTAGAAGATTGTGTTACCGCTTTATGAATTGGGTGCAGATCTATGACACATGCATGTTAACTTCTCGAGTCTCAAACCTTATGGCAAATGTGTTGTCACATTGACTTTTTCTGTGCCTTGAGAGAGTATAGTCTCTTTTTCCCCCATCCTTCAACTTTTTTTTTTAATCCAGATTAAGTTGCCTCTTGGTTATGTGAGTTTAAACTGGTCCAAGGAGTCAGTTCTTCTTAACCACCAACTGGTCCTACAAGATTCATAGCAAACCCTTCTTTTGTCTATTCTTCCTTTTGTACGAATTTGGCATGAAGTTATTGGGTTGACATTTGATAGCTACTTGCAAACTTCTATCAAAATTTTCAGTGGATCCATGTTCTGTATAGCTATTATTTTGATGAGAAAAGATATAGATGATGGTATAGTGATGTTGAAGTCTCAAGCCTTGTGCCTATCTTTTCTTGCGTTTACCTCAACTGACAAGAAACTTGCTTAGGAGGCTATGCGTTTATTTATGGACAAAGGTATGCCAAGTTTCAATCATTTTTTCTGGTGGTTCTTGCTTTTCAAAGCTAAGCATTTATAACTTGTGACTACTCATTAAACTAGGCGAAGAACAACACCACAGAGCAACTTATACTATTTAATGAGAATGATGACGACGGAGCAACTTATACTATTTAATAAGAATGATGTCGACGACAACGTATAATACTAATGAGTAATGAGGAACAGATTGCATTGCTGAGATAATTATATAACTTCCTTTCTTTTCCCTTCTCTTATCTTATTTCGGCTGTTTTTCTTGATCTATATTATCATTGGTTCATGGGTTAATTGCGGATAGACCCCCTGTACCATCGCTGAATTGCGGATACACCTGCCTGTAGTTCTATTATTGCAGATAGACCCCTGAGTGAAATCTTTTGACTCTTTTACTCTCAGTGAAAGAGAATTGTTTTTTGACAAGTAGACCTCTTAGGAGCAAAAGATTCAAAAGTACCTCTTGGCGGTCTATCTGCAATTGTTCACTAGCACAAAGATGCCGCAATTGACTCTTTGTTCATACTACCTCTTGCTTACTTTTCGTGCCACACATCTGCTCCAGGTTCAGCATGGATGGCGCTTTCCCGTTCTTTCGTTGATTACTGCATATGGGGCTGGGACAACCTTCCCCGAACCGTCCTAATGTACTACGCCAATTTCATCTCCTCCCCCGAGGGCTACTTCCACACTGTCATCTGCAACGCGAAAGAATTTCGCAACACAACCATCAACCACGACCTCCACTTCATCGCATGGGACAATCCCCCGAAACAGCACCCTCACTATCTCACCATCAGTGACATGTCGAGAATGATTGACAGCAACGCTCCCTTTGCCAGGAAGTTCCACAGGAATGACCCTGTGCTGGATAAGATCGACGCTGAGCTCTTGTTTCGGCCTCCGGGCATGCTGGTGCCTGGAGGATGGTGTGTGGGGAAGGGAGAGAATGGCAGTGATCCTTGTTTGGTTGTCGGGAACAAAACTGCTCTTCGGCCTGGGCCTGGTGCGATTAGGCTCGAGAGGCTTATGACTTCGCTGTTGTCAGAGGGAAACTTCAGGCCAAGACAATGCAAGTAGTAACCCTTGTATTTGGGTGGATCTGATGTTTTTTGGGCTCTCTTTTGAGAGGGAGTGGTGAAGTCTTTTGTTGCAGAGAAGAAGCGCGCGGTAGCAGGAAGTTGGCTTGTGCAGCGCCTTTTGATGGTATCTGATGGTTGAAGGGAAAGAACAAATGGAAGAAAGTTTTGTTGATTTTGTTGTAAAAATTACTGGTTGTATTGAACCACAGTGAATTGGGATGGAATTTCTTTGTTACTAAAGAGTAATTTATAAGAGTTATGGGTGTAGCCTCTTGAATTTGTTGGATCTCGGTAATAGACTCATCTGAACTGTGTGTTTACGAGCATTGTACACGTTTATTTTTATTATTCCTTGAAGCAGGGAACTTTATATCCAATCCGACATATTCACATTTGGAGACAAGATAATGTTTATGCTTAGAAGTAACTGCAATCCAATCAAAAAGTATACTCTCATGTCTCAGCCCGAAATTGATAAATCTCGGAATCCATTAAACATTATTTTTTGAATCTACAAAAAACAATCTTTAAATTCATGAAAAACTTCGAACCCACTAAGGGGGGGTGAGTCATCTAGAACTTAAAACTGGAACTGAGATAATTTGTGGGATAAATTTTTAAGGTGTTAGTCACATGGAACTAGGAAATGGAATATTTTTTTATAGTGTTAGTCAAGTAGAACTTTTGCAGAACTAGAACTGTATTATTTTTTTGGTGCGTTAGTCAAGTAGAATTCTACTAGAATTAGAATTGGGATAATTGGTCATAATTATCCCACAAATTATACTACATATATATATAACCATAAGTTCTCCTCTCTCAAATTATCCCACACATTGGAAAGAATACAATTGGGAAAAAAAAGTGAAACGTCGTCTCCCTCCCTTTTGGTTAGTTTCTCCGCCTATAAAATTTCTCTGCCATGAAGTCAATCATCCGTTCATTTTTTTGTCTTTACTTTGTTTTTGTGATGATTAGATCTTTTATTATTATCTTCAAGATGTATTACTTTATTGATAGCTTTTTGATGTTAAATTACTTTATTATTATTTGTTTTATCTAAGTTTTCTCTCCACAACAGTGGTTTAGGTTAAGAATATAGTGTTGGTGGGTTAGTGCTAAAGATATGCGGGCTATTTATATTTTTTTTATTAGTTAGAAAGCAACTTTGCGATCTCATTGATGATTAGATGTTGAATGGTTAATGGTGATATCTATTATTATTAAATCGGCTCAGTAAATTGATTGGGATATTTATAGTTCATCTGTCGATCATCTGTTTAGCGGTCATGGATGATTCCTGTGGATGACTCCGATAAAGAAGACGAGATACAGACTCAACGAGCAACTGTAGGAGCTTGGAGAAATTCTATGGCAGATGCCATGTGGGATGATAGAAGCCATGTGGGATGATGGAAGTCGAGTCACTCTAGGGATTTAGATTTTTATTTTTTTTGTAAATTATTTTATTATTTGAGATGAATAATGATATTTTATTGCATTATATTTTATAGTTACTACTAGAATTTGCTTATCAATATTATATTATTTTTAATATACAATTATTAACAATAGTAGTTTATACTCACCATCACCCCCACCAAATTATCCTACCAAATTATGCAACTTCATAATAGTATCCATCATTATCCCACCAAATTATCCTACCAAATTATCCCACTTTAAAAATTACCTACCATTGTTCTACTAAATTACCCCAGTGTCAAAATATTATCCCACTTTACCAATTATCCCAGTTCTACTTAAAAAGTTCTAGGTGACTAACCCCCCCTAAGAAAATTAATATAAGAACTTTTGTGGATGTAAAGTTATGCCTTTTTGTGGATGTAAAGTTATGCCTCTAGGATTTATACTCTGCCTAAATAGAAAAACAAGCTGAACTCTTACTAGGACCCTGATTTTATTAAAAATAGAGATAACAAAACTATCCTTAAAAGACTCCCCATGATTGAGGAAATAAATCATTCAAATTTAGGATCAAGTTGGATTTTCAAATCAAAATAGACTTCTAAAACATTATCAAAAGTAGTAAAAAGCTGACAAAAAGTTCGATATCTCCCAATCCTGAGGGAATTTCGTGAAACAGACGGTGGTAAACCGACTAGCAGTAGATTAGATTGACTCCGTCTCCAAAAAATTTACGATTTTTTTATTTTTTTATCCAATTCTGACATGTGGTTTGGATGATACGACTCATTTTTTTTGTTACTAGTCAATTTTCTCACAATCTAGTTTCTTCATGAATGGTGTCTACAACGTTCCTACATCAAAGTCTGGCATTCTAGATAGGGTTAATTGCATATAGGCTCGTCTTAGAACTTGTCGTTCATGTAGTTTGATTTTGACAGGATGGATGTTGTTTTAACTTTTTTTGTTGGTACCTTCGTTGAAATTTTAGCTGATATTTCTCCTTGGATGAAATAGTGGGTATATTTGAACGTAAAAGAGCAAAAAATTTAATCCTGGGGCTCTATCTGCCAAACCAATTAACATGGATAATAATCTTTATAGAGTCTACATTACGATTTACGATGAAGGGTCTACGTGCAGTTAACCCTTACGCATATTTATATGCACACATTTGCGTATCTGGGCCTAGCATCCTTAGCCCACGTCTCGTAAGCCCTTTTCATACCAAAATCGCATAAAAGGCACAGGTTACTGTAGTGGCTTTTGACCTTGGATACGTCACTCACTTTTTGAATATTGAGAATAAAATAAAATAATAATATTTAATGGAAGATGGATACAGATTATTATTATTAAGTTAATGCATGCATGTACTATAGAATACATAGCAAAAAAAGAAGGCATCCTTTCTGAGTAATCGAGTTTGAGTAGCAAGGACGGGACAGACACCATGCTGCGTCCCGACACAGGCGAGCGCAAGCGGAGGAGAGGGCAGGCGCTAGACCCGCTTAATTAGCAGTTTATTTTATTTATTTTTATTTATTTAAAAAAAAATTTATTAGGAGAGAGCAAGAGAAAGAAACCAAACCCGAGTGAGAAAATTCGTTCTTTGTCAACATTTCACAATGAGCGCCTACAGAACTTATCTTTGCATAAATAGCCCTTCCAGTTTTGTCACTGTCAAGTGCGTCAAGCACAGCTTTTACATACCAGTTATGGGTTGCTGGAATTTGGTGGCGATTTCGAAGCATCACATTGAAGACAAGGGTCCACAAAGTTTAAAGTTTGATTGCTACATTTCATGCCAGGGATTTTGGGTTTAGGCATACTTGTTTATTTGTTTGCACGGAAGTAAATTTTAGCGTTGCTGTTGATGTGATGCTTACATGTGGTACTTTCTTAAAAATTGATTTTGGGTTATTTAGACAAGCTTGTTTGTTCGCACATAAGTAATTATAAAGTAGTTAAAGCAAAAGAAATAGATGCTATTCCTGCTACTTCCAAACAAAAAAACATGTCCGTTTGTCTAAAAAATATACTTTCAATACTTCCTTAAACGCTGATGTGACGCATACGTGTCATCCCTACTTCCTAAATATTTTTCCTCCCCTCAAGGTTAAGAAGAAACCCGGAAGTAGGTGAAATAAATATTAATTAGGAAATAAATAAAATTTTTATTAACATTTTCTTTATCAGTTATTTTCTAACAACTTTTCATTGCTATTCAAACAAAAAAAATTTGAATAAAGATTAAAAACTACTAATTCACTGCTTCAAAAAAATATGTGAAATAAACCAAAAAGTGTTACTTCTAGTACTTCATACTTCATAAATTTAGAAGTCACTTCTTTGATATATTTCCTACTTTCAAACAATTTTTTTATTGCTATCCAAACAGAAAAAGGGAATGCTCAATAAGAAGTATTATTTCCTAGTGTGTTAAACAAACAAAAAAGGTATTACTTTCACTATTTTCTACTTCACAAATTTGACCTATTTACTACTTCCGGTACTTTTGTCAAACCAAATGGGTCCAAATTTTAGATTGATGGATCAAATATTATCCCCAAAGTCTTGTTAATTTTAGTCGGATTTGTGATTTTAATTGGATATTCTCTATAAAATTTATAGGTAAAGAAACAAACATTTGGTCCGAATTTATCGCTCGTACATAATGTATTCAATATTCATTATAATAAACAAATTTTTTATTATGAGAGTTTCAAAATTCCTTATGCAAAGAGGGACACGAAGACAATCCACAAACTAAACAATCTCTGAACTTACAGATTTACAGCAAAGAAAAGCAAATAACTACTTATCTCAACGGCATATATCCAATTTTACTATACATTCCAGCTCTCTATTTCACTTTCCTTTAAAAAGCTGTTGTCATTAACAATTGATCCCTGTTCAATAAATTTGCAAGAACGTAGAGTAATATAGGAAATTCACAGGGTCTAATGTAAAAGTTTCCTAATAATAATAATGACAAAACGATAAACCATTACTCTCTCTCTCTCTCTATCTCTCTCTCAGTTCATGCTACTTACTTCCAGCTGTTCTCCTTTGTCTGAGATCTGTACTCATTCTTCCAAAAAACCCCTTGTGATGCGAATTCGGGTCCCAAAACCCTAATGGATCCGACTTCGCTCATCTCTCAGACTCCGATCCCCGAGATCTGGCAGTTTCCCTTGGTTGGCGTCCCTCCTGGCACTAGAATCAACGGCCGAGACTCATCCATCGCCGAATCGACGGTCACTGATCACA